TCTTGCATATTTCTCTGCAGCTCCATCAGCATGGTTATGAGCTTTATTTTTAATTCTTTTTCAGGGAGATTGGTTAGGTCTATCCCCTTCTCAGGGTTTGCCTCTGTGATCTTGATCTGTATCAAATTCTTCTGCCTTTTCATGGCAATAGAGGTATTTGTGGGGAGCTGGCGGTGTGTTGGCTAAGAGAAAGTCCCTTCTTGCTGGTTTTTGGCCTTCCTCTCGTGGGAGAACAGTGATCCCTAGAGGCTTGTGCTGGGCAGCTGCATGCAGATGGGCTTTCTAATTCTTGCCTGGCCGCAGTGGAGCTCCGCGGTTGCTGTGGGCATGGCCAGCCTCAGGCTGCTTCTCCAATATGGTGGAGCCACGTCGGAGGGGGAACAGGCGGGAGGCCGTTTATCTCCAGGAGGGGCCTCCAAGCTGCGCTGCCACCCAGGGGGTTAGGGTGCCCAGAGTTCCCTGGGATTCCCAGCTGCTGGGCTATGTGTCCCGGGACGCTTCCGTCCAGCCGTGGGGTCCCTGTCCCTTTAAGACTTTCAAAATACACTCACTTTTCTTTGCCCCAGGGGCGCTGGCTGCAGGGACCCACTCACAGGTCTTACTGTCCTGTTTCCTTAGTTTCCAGCGCCCCACGCACGCAGTGTGTCTGCGCTCTGGTGCGGATGGCTAGGGCTGGGTATTTAGCAGTCCTGGGTTCCCTCTCCCTCCCTGCTCCAATTCCTCTCCTCCCGCCGGGACCTGGGGTGAGGAGCGCTCAGGTCCCACCTGGCCGCGGCTTCTGTTTTACCCCCTTCACGATGCACTGGGTTCTCGCAGGTGTGTATGTACTCTGGCTGTTGTCCTGTGTCTTCTGGTCTCTCTTTTAGGAATAGTTGTATTTGTAAAAATATATGGTTTTGGGAGGAGATTTCTGCTGCTCTACTCACGCTGCCATCTTCGTTCTCCTCCCATCAACTGGTTTTTCATAGGTCTCTTGGCATCTTGTTCTACATACTTGTAAGCTTAGGAATCAGTTAACAATTTGAGGGGAATTTCTATATTTGGGCCAGGTCTTTTGAGGGGTCGTTTTTCACCCTGAAGCTCCATCTGCTTTGCAGCCCCCATCTCCAACCTCTACCTTCTCAGCACAGTTAGAATATAATAGTATGGCTGGACTCTATTTCCCATCATAATTTGGGAAATTTCTTATACAAAAAGTATGATTACCTGTGGAATTTGCTTCATGGGCTTTCCTTCTCTTGAGAAACTTAGCCCCAGAGTCCTGCCTGTGTTGATTGCTTTCCTGTGCCTCAAACAAGCAGTTTTACATGTTTTGTCTAGCATTCATAGTAGTTCTTCTCGACAGTGCTAGTTCAATACACCATGCTCCATAAATTTGAACCAGAAGTATCATGTCTTTAATTTCATCCTGGAATTTTTCTAATGTCTAGTGTTCAACAGATAAAACCAGCCCTTATATAATAATTGCCACAGACCATAAAGTTTAACTAGTTACAAACCTTATTTTTATTTCCTGAAATAAAACCAGGTGTTCCCTGGATTACCAAAGAAGATCTCAAAGCCAGAGTAGAAATGTTGGATCAATACTTGCCACTAAAGCTCTTTAAACTTCAAATCTGACATAATTTTCCATTCTTTGAATTGTGGTCATTGAAGAACTTTCATAGAAATGGGAATTCTTATCACAGTCTCTCATGTTTTGATCTTTAGGAAGATGAAGTCCTCAGTACATTCTGAAGAGGATGATTTTGTTCCAGAACTACATAGAAATGTTCACCCTCGAGAGCGACCTGATTGGGAAGAAACACTTAGTGCAATGGTAAATCAGTTTTATGTATATGTATATATGTTTATTTTACTTACATAAGGAAAAGGAACCAAACAATCATTACTCACAGAAAAATTTTTTTGTTGTGTAGTCAATTTATTCTGGAATATTGGTGGAAAAAATAATTTATTTCAGGCAGTGTTTTAAACTCTGTGGGCTGACCCCTGAACAAAACACACCAATTTCCTGCCTTCATGGAGCTCATTTCTTAATGGGTTAGGAGGAGAAGCAAATAATTAAATACATGTCAAGTGGTGGTGAATGCTACTGTGGAAAATGAATGCAGAATAGTGTAATTACAGAGTGGTAAGACAGGGTATGAAGAGATAATTGTTGGTTATATTGGATGGTCATAGATGACCCCTGGGAGAAGGTGAGGTTTGAGCAGATGCTAGAGGGAGCGAGTAGTGTGTTTATCTGAGAGCAGATCATTTTCGGCATTGGAAAAACAAGTTAAGGCTGTAGCATAGGATTAAAAAGCAAGCTGGAAGAAACACAAGTAGGACATGTGGCTGAAACTGAATAAACCAGGGGAAAGTAGAAGGAGATGTCAGAGAGTGGTTTTGGTGGATAGAGAGCAGATCATGTAGTTTCTTGCAGTCCATTATAAGGACTTTGGATTTTTATGCTGAGTGAGATGGGAAGCTATTGGAGGACTTTTGGCAAGAAGTGATATGTTCTGGCTTAATATTTTAAAGGAAGTTTCTGGCTAAAGTAGGCAAAATAGGAAATAAGGAAACTAATAGGTGAATGAATAGTGATGGTAGCTTGAATCAGTATGATAGATTTGGTGAAAAATGGTTAGATTCTGTATATAGTTTTTTATAAAGCCAACCATTTTTGCTGATGAATGGGATACAGAGAGTAAGATAAAGAGATGTCAAGGATGACTTTAAGTCTTTTGGCTTGATCAACCTGAAGAATGTAGTTTACATTTACTGAGATGGTGGAAAAGCTGTTTTTGTTGGGGTTATGTGGAAAAATGCTGTGTGGTATAGTTTTCCACATTATGTTTGACTCAGGCATGTTAATAAGAACAGTGAAATTTCTCTTTGTGGAGAAAAACATTTTACTTAATTATAGTTAAAAGTTAGTGTTTCTTATCAAAATTAAATGCAGATGTTCATCTGTCATTGCTGATTTGTAATGAGATTTTACATATTTCATTTTTGAAAATGCTGTTATACTCAGATTGGTATTGCCAAATACATCAACTCATGAGCGTATGATTTTAATTGGGCATATTCATCACTTGCAAGGCATTTATAGAATTCTATTATATTCTTCTCTTGATATTTGCCTTTTAGCATAACATTCCTTTGCAGACTTCCAATTGAGGGTTAGGTGAAAGCTTTTCAATTACACAGCTTAATGGATTTTGCAATATGGAAATTTATTTTGTGTTTGTATTGTGGTCTGAAAAACCCTTCTGGAATTGTAGTTTGCGCCAAAAAATATATTCAATGCAAATTTGTGTAGTGATGGAGATCTCCCTTTTTTTTTTAAATATTTGATAGTTTGGAAGTATGTATAGCAGCTTGTGATTATTTGTGATTCTAACAGTTATCATCGCATTGTAAGTTCTCATATAAGCTATCCTGCTTTGTAGTTTTAGGTTAAGTTCATTAAGAAATAGCATCAAATCTGTAGCAAAAACTAGTTATGAAAGCCATATAGTGTTCAATACACAGCTTGAAAATATGTCCAACACTAAGTCCTTTTCTGCTCCACATGTATTTTTTAATAAAATCAGTTATAATGTATCTTAGTAGATTCCACTTCAGGTTGTACTGAATTAATGTATGCCTGATTTATTTGAAATATTATCACCTGTAGTCGTCCCATGTAGACGTTCATAGAGACCAATTCTTTAGCCACTTTAAATTCAGCATTGACTTCTCAACAACAATTGAGCCATTTTGGTTACATTTGTTGACTCATCTAGCCAAGAGTCAAGGAAAACCACTTGAAATCATTTGCCTTGTTTTTTCAATTGGCTGTTGATTTTGCTCCCAATGACCTGACCTCTTCAACTGTTCTCACCAAAAGGTTAATAAAGCTTCAATCAACAGTTTGTTTTCTCAGGACACATTTCTTTGGCTTTCTTAAACTTTCCAGATAAGAGAATGGTTTTATTTTAGTTATCAGAGTATACTGTTCATACCTCTGTCACAAATCTCATTCTAGTTGGTAATGAATGTATCTCCCTTACTATATTGTGAGCTCTATGAGGAAACTTAGGGATCATCTTGTATTCATTTTATTGGAGGATAAAGTTTAAAAGAGGATATAATCATGATTCATACAAATATAAAATGAACATATGCTAGAAATACTTAACTCATTACCTCATGAAGGAAAGAGTCATGTGTTACAAATAATTCAAAGGAGAATTCAAAGTGCCTTACTTTTATAGATCAGTAATGCGAAAATGGATATAAAGGGATGCAAAACTGGCAAGACTATTCTGTTCCTCTGGACACAGTTTACATTTCCATGGACAGTAACTATTTGTACCATCAGTTTTCTATAAGTTAACTTCTCTGCAAAGATGTAAAATAGTCTAGTCAAAGACAAACAAGTCTCACTCCCCAATCAAACCAAATAATCCCTGGGGGTAACAGCATTCCAATGGAAGTATATTCAGTAACTTCTTCTGCCCATTTTTAAGTTTTTATAATTTTCCCCAACAATTTTTATAATCTTGGCAAAATCTACATTGAGTTTATTAAATGGGAACAAAGGTGGTATTGTTGTGTGGTGGTTTGTGTTAAAATGTCATATGCTGTATACATAGAAAGTCACTGAATTCTCTTTTCTGGAGTGAACATTTATTTGTCTATGGATATTGCCATTTATATCATGTATTTTAGCACCTTTTTATATATAAACCAATGCAGTATTATTAACTATAGTCACCATGTGGTATATTACATCCCCATGACTTAATTATTTTATACTTGGAAATTTGTACATTTTGACCACCTTCACCCATTTTGTCCACCCCCAGCTCCCCAACTCTGGCAACCACTGATCTGTTTTTTATATCTATGAACTCAGTTTTTTTTTCTTTTAAGATATTGGTACTCTTTAATTTCTTTATATGTAACCTTCTTGAGAGCAGGTGCTATAATTCTATTAAAAAAATTATCACTCACAAATAGTAAGTAAATTACTATGTTGCAAAAGTGTACAGTGAATGATAAAAAGGATATCAATGAGACGAGCTACCATTTTATTATACTTCTGCTAGAAAATCATATTGATTTTAGTGAGGAAGCAAGGGTAAAGTTAAGAGAAACCTTTACAAAATGTTTCTCAAAAACAATTCCATTTAGTTAATTTTTGAGTTGCTGTAGAAATAAAAGGGCTTCGATATTGAACTTTTATTGCTTTGTGTGATACAGTCAGAATATTGGTTCTTTTTTGTATAAAGAAAGCAGAAATTTCTGAATTGTCAAGAATTTAAAATTTTAATAGTCATTTTTAATTGAGATGTAATTGATATATAACATGCTGGTTTCATGTGTATGATATAATGGTTCAATATTTATGTATACTGTGACATGATCAACCATAATAAGTCTAGTTAACATCCCTTACTACACACAGTTACAGATTTTTTTCTTGTGAGGAGAACTTAAAATTTACTCTCTAAACAACTTTCAAATCAATGCAGTATTATTAACTATTGTCACCATGTGGTGTATTACATCCCCGTGACTTAATTATTTTATACTTGAAAATTTGTAGCTTTTAACCACCTTTACCCATTTTGTCCACCCCCAACTCCCCAACTCTGGCAACCACTAATCTGTTTTTTATATCTATGAACTCAATTTTTTTTTCCTTTTAAGATTTTGCATGTAAATGAGATCACATGGTATTTGTTTCTCTCTGCCTGACTTATTTCACTTAGCATATTGCCCTCGAGGTCTGTTCACATTGTCACAAATGGCAAGATTTCCTTCTTTTTAGTGGCTGGAGAAACATTGCAGTGTGTGTGTGTGTACACTACATTTTCTTTATCCATTCATCCAGTGAAGGACACTTAGGTTGCTTCCATGTCTTGGCTATTGTTGGATAATGCTGCAGTGAATATGGGGGTGCAGATACTTTTTCAAGTTAATGTTTTTGTTTCCTATTGATAAATACCCATAAGTGGAATTACTGGGTATTTCTATTTTTAATGTTTTGAGGATCCTGTATACTACTTGCCACAGTGGCTGCAGCAATTTATACTCCCGCCAACAGTGCACAAGAATTCCCTTTTTCCACATCCTTGTCAACACTTGTTATTTCTTATCTTTTTTATAATAGCCATTCTGACAGGTGTGAGGTGATATCACTGTGGTTTTGATATCCATTTCCCTGATGATTAGTGGTGTTAAGCAACTTTTCATGTTCCTGTTGGCCATCTATATACTTCTTTGGGAAAAAAAATCTATTCAAATCCTCTGCCAAGTTTTAATTAGATTGTTTATTTTTTTGCTGTTGAGTTGTATGAGTTAATATATTTTGGATATTAATACCTTACTAGATACATGATATGCAAATATTTTCTATTTAATAGGTTACCTTTTCATTTTGTTGATGGTTTCATTTTCTGGGCAGAAACTTTTTGGTTTGATGTAGTCTCACTTACTTATTTTTGTTTCTGGTGACTTTGCAATCCAAAAAGTCATCACCAGGACTGATGGCAAGCAGCTTACCCTCCTGTGTTTTCTTTTAGGCAGAGTTTTATGGTTTTAGGGATGTTCAAGTAAGAATTCACCAGTGAAGATACCTGGTCCTGAACTTTTTTTAGGGAGGTTTCTTGATTACTTGTTCAATCCCCTTACTAGTAATTGATCTGTTCTAAATAATCATTTTTAAATCAAAACATCACCAATAACCTTTAAGTAGGATCTATCCTGTGACTTACGGTTTACGATTTATTTACTACTCTTTTTGAATTTGTAATAACTGAGTATTTTAAGAGATCTAATAAA